AAGCTTTTTCAAAAACTTCAGCAGAAGATGCTAAAGTTATTTAGTTCATTTGTAAAAAGTTCAGCACTAAATAAACTGAAGTTTTTGTCCTACAGTCGTACTAGCTGAAGTTTCAAAGTTTCAGCATAATAGTTCAACTTTCAAAGCTTAGTGTAAGAATTGCATCAATAAAGCGCAATCAGCTTGCTGTTTGATAATTCATTTCTGGATCAATCTGAATTCATTGCAAATATAATAAATACAGACAATGAATTATAAATAGATGAAGAAAAGATCTAAAATGTTGTTTCAACAAAAATGGCAGTCACTATGAGCAAATCAGTAGTAAAATATACTACAAATTACAAAAAATAAAGAGTAGAATAAAGAATAGAAAAGAAAGGATGAAGAAAGGAGCGCACAAGTAGCAGGAAGAAGGAGGTGTCTGAAGTTGTAAAAATTAGGGTATAGATTAAATAATTTTAAAAATATAAATATAGGTTAAATGGAGGCAATCAAATAGGGTGCCCCGTGCAATTTTTACAAAATGAATAACCTAAGAGGCCATCATTTGGTGAAGGGAAAATCTTATCTTTTCCAAAAATTGTACCAAAAAGAGGTGAGTTTTTTGTTGTCATACCAAGCTTATCATAAAATCGTATAAAATCCCAAAACAAAAGGATGCCTTTAATCCTTGAAATGATAGATTTGCTAGTCAATATTTAGTGTGAGATTCAAGTCACTAATGCCAAACACAAGTAGAGGAACAAATCCAAATTCCAAAGATGTATAAACGTGAAGAAATATTCTTATCAACGTCTGCATCGTTAATATATCTTCTAACAATTGAAGTAGATCTCCTTTATTTAGTTTTGTCTTTTTCCTGATAAATATAAACGTGGAAAATTATGAAATACTTCGATGACTTCTGTGTGTGTTTGATGAAGTGAAGATGCAAACTCCAAATGGAAGAGTCGAGCATCTCAATATCTTCCCTATAAATACTTAAGTCGTACGTATTAACCACCAAAGGATGTGGTGCAGTGGATGAGGCTGCTCTTTCCTTAACTAGAGGTCCCGAGTTTGAACCCTGAATATAAAAAAAGTTCTTTGATAGGGAGCGTTTCCTCTCGACTGGGGGCCTACGCAATGCGAATCTGGATATAGATGGGTTCCAATACGGATATCGAATACCGGGTGGGAAACCAAAAAAAATCGTACGTATTATGATTATCTTCAATTACAGTATTTGATTTGACCGGAGATAATTATCCTTTGCTCTTACCAACAAAACGATATATAATTTTTAATTATATTTGTAAAACTATATGGATAAATAAATAATAATGACCCGGCCATTTTTCAAGAACCAAATTGGACACAAAGCTAAAGGCCAAAGCAAATTATTTATGCTAATTACCAACGAAAAATTAATTGAAGCAGGTCCAAAATCCCGTAAATGTCGGTGACTTTTCTATTTTTCCGTATCAAATTTTGTGTGCGGACGTAAATTAAAAATAAGGAACTATATGTACGTTTATAAGTAGTTTATTACAAAAATTAGATAATTTATAAAATATTATTAAATATTAATCAAATATTACCAATATCAGCCAATTAGATATTTGTAGCAAAAAAGGGTTAAAAATTTGCTCTTTTTTTGAGTGAGTGTTATTAGAATAGATTGGGTACATCTGAAGGAGCATGCAATTTCAGGATGATTTCGTGGAGTTTTTGAGGTGGTTTGAATTGAAAATTTGTTAAGAGTGGCATAGCCATTGAAGGAATAGAGAGAATAGAGAAAGGAAGAAGAAAGTAATAGAGCACAGTTTGGAAAATATCGAATCTATTTTTGCCTGCATTGTATATATATATACACACACACACACATCACTTAATCACTAACTACCTACCAATATATTAGTTGTTGATAGCTGTACATTTAGCCCACTAACTAACTTCTAACCTCCTAACTAACCTCTACACTATGCATTCTTCTCAACACTCCCTCTCAAGCTGAGGGATGGAAGAAGTTCTTCATTCCCAGCTTGCTAATCAAATACTCATGTTGTGGTTTGCATAGACTCTTGGTAAGCAAGTCAGCAGGTTGTTCCTTAGTCCCAATATGTTGAGTCTGAATTTGACCACTCTGAATTTTCTCCCTTACAAAATGACAATCAATGTCAAAATGTTTTGTCCTTTCATGAAATATGGGATGTGCAGCAATCTGTATAGCAACTTTGCTATCACAGAACAACTGCACAAGATTGTTCATTGCAACTCCTAGCTCTCCAAACAAACCAACTAGCCAAGTGACTTCAGCAACATCAGCTGTCATGCTCCTGAATTCTTTTTCAGCAGAGCTCCTAGAAACTGTGCTTTGCTTCTTCGACTTCCAAGAGATTAATGCTTCACCAAACTTAACTATATAACCAGTAATAGACTTCCTTGTTTCCACACATGAACCCAGTGTGAATCACAGTAAGCAACTAGTTCCTTGTTACCTTTTACTGGCATAAACAGTCTCAATCCTGTAGTTCCCTTGACTTCCATATGTGACTGCTTAGGAGCATGCATGTGTTGGCTCAGTACTTGAATAACAAAGGCAATGACTGTCCTTGTCATTGTCAAGTACAGCAGTCTGCCCACTAGTCTTTGATAGCTTCATGGGTCCTCAAGTTGTCCATCTATAAAGGTTTCCCCTTTGTTCATGAATTCATAAATGCTACTGAGGTAAGTTTATGATTGAACTCAAGGGGTGTAGCAACATGCTTTCCACCAGCCAATCCTAGCTCAGACACTAACTCAAGCGCATATTTCCTATGATTCATAAGAATTCCTTCTTTAGATCTAGAGAACTCAATTCCTAGAAAGAATTTTAATTCTCTCACGTCCTTCATTTTGAACTTAGCTTGCAAGTCTGTCCTCACTTGATGAATAAGCTCCACATTGTTCCCAGTAAGCAATAGGTCATACCAGGATTACTATCAGATCACCACCTACCCTTTGTATGAAAAGAGAATAATCATAATGAGACTGAACAAATCCCATATACTTGAGAGCAGAAGTCAGCTTCAAGTTCCATTATCTAGGAGCCAACTTAAGTCCATACAAGGACTTGTGCAATCTACATACTTTCTTATGACACTTCCCCTGGCCGGCAAAGCCATCTGGGATCTGCATATAGACCTCCTCAAGAAGGTATCCTTGAAGAAACGCATTGTGCACATCTATTTAAAAAATAAACAAACCAGATGTTGCAGCCAAAGCCACCACAGATCTCACTCTCACCATCTTGACCACAGGAAAGAAAGTCACTTTGTAATCTAGTCATGCAAGCTGACTATACCCCTTAGCAACCAGCCGAGCCTTATACCTTTCCACCTCCACAGTGGACTTATATTTGACTTTGAACACCCACTTGCAGCCAATAAGAGTCTTGCCAGGATGCAGGTCAACAATGGACCAGGTCTGATTTTCCTCAAGAGCAACAATCTCAGCCTACATGGCTTCTATCCACTTAGGATCAGTATTGGCCTCAGCATAGAAAGTAGGCTCAGACACAGCTGAGTATGCAGCAATACAAGCCTGATAGGCAGGAGACAACTTGTCATAACAAACATACTGGAAATGGAATAATTGCAGACTGCTCCTTTGGATGGTACAACATAGTCTTTTAACCATATATGAGGAACAAAGTTCCTAGATGATTTCCTAATAGGAGGTGGAGCAGCAATAGGAGAAGGACTGGATAGTGGAGGAAGATCAGAAGTTAGCTGAGTAGAATCAACTTATTGACTAGAAACAGAAGAATGAGACTCAGTTATAGGAGTTCTAGGAGAAGGAATTTACTAAAGAGAAGAACAATCAGCTTCTAAAAGATCTAAAATGGGAAATAAAGGAGAAGAATCAGATATGTCATGCTTAAAGGAAAGACATCCTCTTTGAAGACAGTGTCCCTGCTCACAAAGAATAGTTTTGAGTGAAGACCATATAAAATGTATCCCTTTTGCATAGAAGAGTAGCCAAGATGAACAACAGGAATGGCTCACTAACTAACTTCTAACTTCCTAACTAACCTCTACACTATGCATTCTTCTCAACAAAATTCGAAGTAGAAGATGATCATGAAAAAAAATGATATGTGTATCACATATGTATCATATTTGTATCAAATGTGTATTATATGTATATCCATGTATACATGTGTGTGAGATATATGTGTCATAGAAGAATTTTTTAAACTCGATATTAACTACGAATTGTGATACCAAATCAATCCAAATCACCTCCAATCTTCCTCAAATTTTTGTGTATTGACTCATTTATATGTTTTCATTGAATTTAACCCATTGAAAAAAAAAATCCTTTTTACTTAGATTTTTTAAATCTTATATATATGTATCATCTTATTTGCTATCTCATCCATGAAATTTTCTTTCCGTTTTGCATCTAATGTTGCCGATCACGCTTAAAAATATTGAAGATGATCTTTGCGTGTGATTTTTGAAGAGAAAGAACCTTATTTATTTAGGTTTTTAATTTTTATATGTGCTTGTCTAATTTTGATAAATTTATAATTAATGCCCGGGTAATTTGAGGCTTATGTGAGGCATTTATATAAGATTCCCTAAAAAAAACTACTCCGTTGTATATTAATTTCAAAGAGTTATAAAACAAATTCAATGAACCTAAGTTGGTTGGCTAAGAGGCACCAAGAAATTGAAATAAAAATGAAAAGATAAGAACTCAAGTAAAAGATGAACTCCAAACCGACAATTTTTTAGGACCTCCAAAGGACGAACGAGATGCATATAACTTCACCATTATCAGTCAAACTGTGTGAACATAACATGTTTTTCTTTTTGGGCAACGGCAAGTATCAAAACCTTTTATTTTTTTATTCTACATTTCCTTATTATTTTAAATATATTTTAAAAAAAAGTATTTTATGCATGTCCTCGCTGAAAAAAGAAAAGACAAAGTAGCAGTGGGGAGTGAATCGAGTGATCAGCATTAAATTTCGTGTACATCTATAAGGAGAAAGTAGCTCTAAGATTAGATACCAACTGTTGCATTGACGGCTGTGTCATCAAGTTTAAATTTTCCTCCTGCTTATATATATAGCCCTCGTTTCTGCCTTGTCAGTTTGAAAGTGAAATATTTGTCGGAGAATTTTGTCTGGGGAAAAAAATTGTACCTATACAATATGTGCTCAAAATCTTCAGAAATAGCTGCTGATGATTCAGTCACACATCAACAAGGAATTAACAATCAATTCAGAAAGATTTTCTGAGCTTTGAAAAAGTGTTCGACGAAATTATATTAGAGTTCGACTTCGCCATATATAGCTCAAAGTCGGTGATTTTGGATTCATTAGAAAAAGGCTTGTTTCAAAAGAAAAAGGTGAAAAGGCCAAAAGGGTGTTGATATTTCATAGAAAATCAACTGGGGTAGAGATAATAATTTGTTTTTTCAGAATTTTTCTAGTTTAAAAATTGGGTACAAATCAGTACATGTGCTTGTTAATAAAGGTGGCGAATCCAGGAGAATCCGGCGAGCATGACAGAATTCCATCAACGGGAGGTGATTCAGAAAGTACAACAACAACTACTACTACCACAGAAGGAGGAATTCCGCAGCCATATGAACAATCATTTGAAGAAATGTTGCGACAACAAATACAACAAGAAACAGAGTATTTGATGTCTTCATCTGCAACTCCGATGTTTTCAGGGTATAGTCAGACAAGGGAGATGTCAGCAATGGTAACGGCGTTAACGCATGTTGTGTCGGGAAGGAGACAAGGAGAGTTGACTTACCGGCCGGAAATTACGACATCGTTTGGTGGTGGTTCGCCGTCATCTTCGAGTTCAGGGTCATGGGCTGGACAGAAGAGAAGACGTGATCAAGAAGAAAGTGTTGCTGCAGAGCAAGTTCAAAGGGTTTATGGAGGTTTTGGTGAATTTAGAAGTGGAGAATCATCTTCCTCTGTTAAACCTGGTGTGTATTAAATATTCTTTCCTTTATTATTTCGGAGTTCATTCTTTTCCTTATTTTTCCCTTCTCAAAATTCACACTTTTAAAATACTAGCAGTAGTTTTTTGTTTTTGTAGAGTAATTCAATTTATGTTCTTAATTTAGTTCTTTTTTATTATTGCTTCCTCTCTGTTTTTCTTTCCCCTTCCTCTGGTTTTCTTAATTTAGTTATTTTCTATTATTGCCCGTTCTTGAAAGTTGTGAACAGGGGATTACTACTAATGTTTAATTAATTCTGTATTTCAGATTTTCATTTTAATTGCTCTGTACTACTCAATTAATGCAATATCATATACTAATTATTTCTCCCAGAAGAAGCCTCAAGCATGGTAGCACCACCAACCACCACAACCGCGGCGGCGCAACCAACACCACAATCAGCGGAAGGGGGAGCTGAAGAAACAGGGGAAAGGAGGAAGAGATACAGAGGAGTAAGACAAAGGCCATGGGGAAAATGGGCAGCTGAAATAAGAGATCCACACAAAGCAGCTAGAGTTTGGTTAGGCACATTTGATACAGCTGAAGCTGCCGCTAGAGCTTATGATGAAGCTGCTCTTCGATTCAGAGGAAACAGAGCTAAGCTCAATTTCCCCGAAAATGTCCGCTTATTACCACAACAACAACAACAATATCAACCCACAACAAGATCAGCCATTTCCAGCTCCTCAGCAGCTTCACAATTCCCATTAATGGCTGCAGCAACAACTCCATCACCATTTTTTCAAACATATCAACCTCAGCAGCAGCAGCAGCAGCCGCCTTTTCAGAGTTCAGAAATGGTTAGAGATTATTGGGAATACTCACAATTATTGCAAAATCCTGGTGATTTTCATGCACAACAATCTTCGTCGTCCTTGTTAGAGCAAATGTTGTTTGCTTCTTCATCAATGGGTCTTTTGCATTCACACACATTCCCTTCTTATTCTTCATCTTCCTCATTAGCTACTTCCTCTTCAGCTTCTTCCCCTGCTTATCCCCTGTTTTACTCTGCTCAACAATCACGTTTCTTTCAGCCACCACAAACTAGTCATCAAAATCAAACTAGTAGCAGCACCTCCAGTTTTCCTGCACCTTTTTGGACTAGTTCAACCCACTACCCACCTTCTTCTAGCTAATTTTCATACTTCCATCCTTTTTCCTTTTTTTTTTATATTTTATTTTTACATTTTTTTTTAAAAGTTAATGGGTATCCAGTTTTTTTTTTTGTTTTTTCTTTTCTTTGGATTTTAGTTTTTGATTTTCTTGTGTTTTGTAGTTAGCAGGTAGGGAGATAGGACATAGGCAAGGACTAATACTGGCACTTTTATTGTTGTCCTTATTTGAAGGATAGATGGTTTTATACCAAGTACAGTACAAGAAGAATAGTACAAGAAAGAAGCATATCTAGGTTTTTATATTACCCCCACAAATTTAAATGTTGTTGTCATTTTTGATGATTTACCAAAGAAACTTGCAGATACCATCCAACTTGTCAAGTTTGTTTGTTTTCTTCTTTCTGTTTTGCAAGTTACCATCACATTCAAATCACTATACAATTCTAATAGTGTTGATGATCTTTGGCTCATTTGTGCCTTCAATTTCTTTTTGTTCCGTTACTTGGACCAATGCCTTTTATCTTTTAGTGAATCCATTTATTGTGTTATCAAAGATCCAAAATGGTCAATTTTCGTTTTCTTTTTATTGTCAAACTGTAGGTTAGGTTAGGGGCGCCAAACATGCGGGTCGGGTCGGGTCGGATATGAGTGAGTTGAAGACTAGTAATATAAAAATAGATAAATTATCTGATCCGACATATATTTAATACAGATAAAAAATAATTAACCAGATATAAATATTCATATTATCCATGACTTCTTGAATATGTTCACCTTTAAGAAAATTTTTATTCTTCGAAATTTGAGAAACTTCTAATTTTGTAAATTGGGACTTTATAAATGTAAAATGTTAAATCTATTAGTTATTTATTTTTTAAGTGATTAATATAATTTTATTTAAATTTGATTCGCTTTAAGAAAATTATTTATTTTCAAATGAATAATATGAATGAATAATTTTTTTTTAAATTATTTTGTCGCCACTAAGTTAGGTTAAATTAATAGAGTAGTATGTTAGTCTTAGTCTAAAAATAATTTTAAGAGTTTATCCATATTTGGTGGACGAAGGGTGTCGAAAGTGTTAGGTACTGAATTTGATTTGATAAGACTGTGACAACGTAAACATCCCTTGGGTTGTGGTTATCCCTTGATGTTTAAATATGGAATACCTCGTTAACAAAGCGTAAAAGAATGATATTCTTGTGTCACCATTCTCATCTCAATCTCTATTACTTATATCATTCTTTTTGTATCTTTTTGGGTTTTGGATGATCTAATCACATGATAAGCTTATTACGCCTGCGTAAATTGCTAGTCATGTCTTAACATGACATCTTGTCACGCAGTCATTGGCTAAGAACTCAGTGATGGTATTCAAAGGTTTCTTTTTAATACACGCATAATTACTTTTTTTTTGTTCAACTCTATTTTCGATGGCTGAACTATGTGTCAACTTTATTGCTCTATATTTCCGACGACTTATGATTTCTAAATTCTAGAAGGACAATTTTAAGTGCTAGTACAAATTTTAAATTTAATGTGTATATATTTAATAAAAAGTTTAATGTATATATCTTATTTAAGCAAAAATTATTGGACTTCTGCCTTCGCCTCAGTGTTAATATATTCCACATGAATATTAGGGGTGCTTATGAGGCAGCTCAGGCAGATATTTACGCTTAACGATTTGGATTACCGGTTATTTGTTTATAAATATAATAATTCACTAATCAACCAATAATACACCAGACGGATTGGTATTGAATTAGTGATTATCGGACGGTTATCAGATGAATTATCGGCTAAATCAAATAGATAATTTAAAAAAAATGTAAAGAACTAGAGATAAGGGAAAATTTAGGTCCATATTTATTTATACAATATTTTCTAATACATGCGACATGCAATATCCGGTACAAAGGAGAGTAAATAAGTATGTGGTATGGATAAAAAAAAATTTGACAACTCATTTGAAAGAAAAAATATTTTACGAGAAAAACAAGTTAGTTAACTAATGCACAAATAAATCTCCTCCTTATCTTATAGAAAAATACACGTGACATGCAATTTATGTCTGACCAAATTCATGTTTGAACTTTGAAGAACTGACTCATGAGGGAGACGACTGTTGCCGGTGTTGAATTGAAAATTTAGGATTTCAAGTAGTACTTTATAAACATAGGGGTAAAAGGCAAATATAATAATTCTTAGCGGGTTAACGGTTGATAAGATAAGAAAATTGAGTAATCCACAAGAAAACAGGTAATTATAAAATTTCAATCCATTCACCAACTTTTACCCGATAACCCGATACCAATAAGCTAATAAGATAATTTTGCGGTTCGGTTAATGGTTAGGATTCGATTTTGAACAGCCTTAATGAGTATTCTATATTTACCTACATTTAAAATAGGCCATTTGGCTTTGTTTGCCCTTTAAAACGGATAACAATTGAATTTATACGCGATTTTAAGGATATGTGGGTTAATTCAATACAAGTGATTAATAACGTTAGATTAAGCAAATAAAAGACGTAACAAATGACCAAACCAATGATAATAATGAATCCTAGCTCGGTTAAAGGCTTAATGAGGGACGTGCCTTCAGTTCCGAGCTTGCACTTGTGAAGAACTTATGAACAAGAACAAGAACTTTCAATAGCTTTTAGAAACAGAAGTATATTTCCTTGATATGCATATTACAGTGTCCCTAATATATAATAATCTTTCCCTTTATATAGTAGGCGAGTTTTACCCTAAGTACAATTCTAAGAAAGGTAAAAATCTTCCTCTTCGCTGATCATTAATTTTCTGCTGATAGGGGTCGAGTATCACGACCCAAACCGAAGGGCCGCGATGGGAACCCGGTGCTTTACTCAACCGAGTACCAACGTAACATATCTTTCTTATCATATTATCATGAGTANATACCAAGGGCCTCCTCCAATACCATATATCAACAACAATTACCAGAGCAATCCATCAATACATAATTATCAATATCAAGATACCATATAACAACAACAAGTCACAACTACATTACGACGAGCGGCAAGCTCCGATTGGAATCCGTATACCCCTTATCAATCCTTATAGACTTCTTACTTCAACATAAAAGTATCATTAACATGATAATGAAGTCATTAATCAATGATTC